TTGCAATTTTTTGGTTAGGTATAGAGAAGCATATTCTATAATAAAATAGCCAAAACAATTTTGAAAAACAAGAATAAAGTGGGATAAATCAGTCTACCAGCTTTCAAGTATAGCATTGGTGAAGGGATAGATAATACGGATTAATGTAATAGAATAAAGAACCCCAAAATAGACCCACACATACCCAACTTATTTTTGATAAAGGTGCAAAATAATTAAATGGATATCATTGTTCAATAAATGGAGCAACTTCTGCTAGAGCATTGGACATCCACAGGCATAAAAGGTAACCTTGACTCACATACTGCACCTTATAACAAAATTAAATCAAAATGGATCATAAACTTAAATGTTAAATGTAAAGCTATAAAACTTTTAGAAAACTGCACATATCTCTTTTAGGAGAAAATCTTCAGGATCTAAGGCTAGGCAAAGGGTTCTTAACAATTGACATCAAAAGCAAGATCGATAATGGAAAAAACTAAAAATTGGACTTCATCAAAATTAAAAGATTTGCCCTGAAAAAAACCTTGTTAAGACAATGAAAAGACAATCTATAGGAGGAAATAAAATAAAGAACTCTCAAAACTCAATAGTAAAAACAAACAAACAAAAACCCAAAAATCAAATTAGAAAATGGGCAAAAGAGATGAACACACATTTCATTGAAGATGATATTTGGATGGCAAATAAGCACATGAAAAGATATGGAAATGCAAATCAGGGAAAGGTACATTAAAGATACAATGAAATATCACTACACACTTATCAGAATGGCTAGAATAAGAATATGACACCACCAAATGCTAGGGAAGACGCAGATAAAATGAATCACTCACACATTGCTGGTGAGAATGTGAAATGGCATAGCCATTCTGGAAAGCAACTTGGTAGTTTCTTAAAATACTAAGCATGGAACTATCATATGAGAACACATTTATCCAAGAGAAATGAAGACTTATGTTCACACAAAAACATGTATACAAATTTTTGTGGCAGCTTTACTCATAATGGATAAAAACTGGCGGAACACTCAGACGTCCTTCAATGGGGGAATGATTACACAAACTGTGGTACATCCATACGATGGAATAGCAATCAGCAATAAAAATAGGCAAACTACAGATACACAACAATCAGAATTATGCTGAGTGAAAACTCCAGTCTCAAAAGGTACATACTTTATGGTTCCATTTTTTCATTGCCACTCTTGAAATGATTAAACCACAGAAATGGAGAACAGACTAGTGGCTGTCAGGGTTAAGGAGGGAGTGGACAGGAAATGGGCATGGCAATGAAGGCAGTCCTTGTGGTGATGAAAATATTATGTATCCTGATGATGTGATATCTTGGTTGGAATATTGTACTATAGTTTTTCAAGATGCTACCATAAGTACACAGACTCTCTCAATACTATTTTTTCACAACTGTAAATCAACAGTTATCTCAAAATAAAAATTTAATTAAAAAATCAAATGCAGTGTTACTGGTTCTTACTCTCCTCCATATCTAAAGAGAAAACGAAATCCATTCATTCCACTTCAGATAAATCATTTGAACCTCTCTTCTTCCCTTCTGTCCTTCTGTTTTGTTTCTGGTCCTTATCCTCTATTGCCTAAACTATCACAATTATATCACAGCAGACTTCTTTGACTTTAGTCTCTCCCCTTTTCAGTCTTT